ATTTCACTAAAAAAAATGCAACATTTTAACTCGGTTTTTGGTAGACTTTTAAGTGACTAACATAAGGCTACTGTGGATGTGCCCATTTCGGTTACAGCGACATTCGTTTATAACAACACTATTTTTAGGTCCCTTTGATGACGTTATAACCAAGTTCTACTGTATTTAGATTATCGAGGTAACTCTGTTTTGCAGAGAATTTCATACAGCAAGTTTTGTCAAGATTCAGCGAAAGCATATTAGAATGAAACCATTCGTTCATTAATTTTAATATAATTGAAAGTTTGTTTTCTAGATTCATGAAGTTGAGATCATTTGTTAATACACTTGTATCATTAGCGAATAAAATTATTGAGGTATTATGAGGGCCAAAGCACTTGATAAAAGAAGGTAAGTCATTAATATAGACCAAAAACAAAAGTGGACCTAGAATCGATCCCTGTGAAACACCTTTGGTAATTTTTCCCCATTTAGAGAATATATTATTAAATTTTACTCTCTGATATCTATTAGTAAGGTATGATTCTAACAATAAATGCATCCTACCTTTTATTCCATAATATTTTAAGTTAGATAACAAAATTGTATGGTCCACACAATCAAAGGCTTTTTCTAGGTCCAAAAATATGCCACCGCACTTCTTTTTATTATTTAAAGTAGGCAAGATGATATTAGTAAGTTTAAATATAGCATTGGTAGTTGATAATTTATTTCTGAATCCGAATTGATCGTTAGTAAGGATGTTATTAGCTTGAAAATGCATAAGTAGTCTCTTGTAGGTAACTTTTTCAAAGATTTTAGAAAAGGAAGGTAATAAAGATATTGGTCTAAAATTTGCTACATTATTTATAACACCTTTTTTATGTAGTGGGACAATAATTGAATATTTCATTCTGTCAGGAAAAATCCCTGTAGATAAAGACTTATTTATTATGTAGCATAAAGGAGAAGCAATAAATGGTGCACTGATTTTTAATAGCTTCAAAGGAATTTTGTCGAAACCCTGTGAATTTTTCCAAGCAAAGTTCTTTATAATTTTTAAAATCTCACCGGTAGAAGTGTTATGTAAATTGATATTATTGTACTTAAGATTATGAAGCTTAGCCAAGTTGTATGGAGAGTAGTTCGTATTGTTTGTATTTAGCTTATTTTTATTTTTAATCTTTTCAGAGATATTAACAGCCATTTTTATAAAATATTCATTGAATTTTTCAGCATTAATTTTAGAAGAGAGTTCTTTATTATTTTCATCCATGTTATCTATAGCTTGCTCATTGATATTTCTTCCTACGTTCAATTTTATAATATTCCAAGTAGCTTTGACTTAGTTATGAGCATGTGTGATTTTATTTTTAAAGTATAATTTCTTTCCAGCTTTTATTATATAAGCTAAGATTTTACAGTATCTTAAGTAGTAATTTTTTAAATTTACATCATTGTTAGATTTAACTAAAAGATATAGATCCTTTTTCTTTTTACATGAATTAATGATACCACTAGTAATCCATTTATTTGTCGATTGTCTTTCAAGAATCTTTTTCTTAGGAAAACATGAGAGAAAAATTTCTTTTTAGAACATTTAAAAATTCTCTCATTTGTACATATATCGAGCATTTGGGTATCATTATCTGATAAGCCGTTTGGTACAGGAGATATACTAAAATGAGTAAATTTGGTGATATCGAGAAAAACATTATCAATAGTTATACTTGAGTTTTTGGTTATTCTTGTTGGAAATTGGACTGTGCTATTAAGATTGTAAGAGTTTAGTAGACCATTTAGTTCTTTTTTTTCTTTGGATTACATTAAAATCACCACAAATAATTAAGAGGATATTGGGTTTGTATACCATTTTGAGAATAGCCCCAAGACCATGTAGAAAAAACTGAACATTACCGACTGGTGATTTAGCAAGGAAGTGAATAAACTTGCGCAATGAAGAAATTAATTGTTCTTTCTCTTAACATGATATTTTTATAAAGATAAAAGAAAAATTTCCCTTGTAATTAAGGACCATGCTATGAAGGCATATAGTGGGGATGAATGATAAGTACAGGCACTTTTAGCTAAGGTTTTAATGGAGGTAAATGATCAGCTTCAGGCAGTGGCTGTCTTTACCCCATAATAGAGAGCCCAGAGTAATTCTGAATATGGTGGTGATAGGAAGCATTTAAATGCCCAACTGGCATTCAGACTTTACTATCTTACCACTGGTTCGTCACTTTACTGAGTGTGATACGATGGTTTGCATTATGTGAAAATGTAAGTAAAACTGTGGTTTCATACTAGGGTAATAGAAAGAAGTTGGTGCCTAGTGCAGATAATCCCAAGAAGATAAAACAGTTTTATGATTGTCTGGCAACCATTATGACATACCAGCTGCAGTCATTGTGTCTCAACTCCATCGCAGATTTCACAAACTTCATCTGTGATGTGGGGGTAAGATTTTCCAATATTAACACATAAAAGAGAATATATGAGTATTGAAGGATGTAATTCTGATTTGTTATATGACATAAAGAATAACCACATACATAAGTACTGCAATGCAACTGTTGAATAAGCATGCATTTGCTGTAGAATTAATTGTAGTTCCTTGTTCTGTTTTTGCATATAGAATTTTATTTGGCCACAATGTGATAATGACAAGTAGTACCATTCATCTACAATATTATAATTTCATAGTTGAATGCCTTTTGTTTCGTCAGCAGTGTGAATTTGCCGTACAAAATGTGTCTGATTTTATTACACTGTTAGCTGTTTTATTTCTTTATTGACATGGGTCTCCAATTCACAGTGTGTCTGATAAAAGTTCACATATTTTAATATGTGATTCAAATTTGAAAACGTCATAGAGATAAAGAAACTCTTGACTGACCAGGAAGAGAAAAAATGGCTGGAAAGAAATGAAAAGGCATTAGAATGAAATATTTTGTTTGTAATGCTGTAATGTTCAGAAGAATAATTAAAATGCCTGCATAAGTTAAGTTGTTATTTAATGTCTTGTCATAGTTTGTAGAAGATGATATAACCACTATACAGACATTCTAAAATGACAAATAAACTGTCAGTTATTCAATTCAATTCAATTTATTCCAAATTCAAAAATAGATCCAGATACAGGCTGGGAAACAACCATTGGATATAGAATGAGTCACAGATAAAAAACAAGCATTCCATTCCCACAGGAACAAGTCAAGGCATTCATAATATAAAACAAAATAAGAAACATATCAGCCATATATACAAACAAAAACTCTCCCAGTATGGAACTCATGACTCATCTATTATTTCATAAAATCCAATACTTTATGTTAAAAGGTATTGGAAACAGTTTAGTATTTTATGTGAGTTTATAAATTGGAATATGAGAGAAGACTGGAGTGGTTTGGGGTGCATGGTGGTCAAGGAGAAAGCACAGCTACTTCTGTAGAAATTACGAGTTAATGGAAAGGAAAAGCTCAGAAAGGTAGCAGGGAATCCAGACTATAAATTATCTTAATTATATAGTGGACCATTGTGTAATTGACACTATGACTTCTGATATTAATTATACAACAACAGCAGTATCATTAAACAAGCAGTTTGCTGCAGTAGTAATGTTTGAGGATTTTTTTGAATGTGAATAAATGAATGAATGAATGAATAGACTCATATGTGGGGTCTTATGTAGTTTTGTCGTTCGTCATTACTCCGATGACAACCCACTTCTTCGGAACAGTTGTTGGTCCTGAAAAGGACCGTAGTTGCTGAGATGCTTGACCGGTGAGGTAGCGCGGCGCGCGCCGGTAGGGAGAGAGGTTAGTTGCGGTGATTTGACTGGCCACAGTGCGGCCGCTGCTGGAGGTTGCTTGATTGCCATGCGGCAGGTGAGTTGGAGTTGCGGGGCTAGCACAGTGCGGTCGTAGGAGTGATGAGGCAGTGGCTACGCCAGATGCCCAGTGGGTCGGACAGGGACACGACCACCGGCGAGTCCAGGCGAGGTGCCCCAGTGAGTCGGGTGTGAGAGAGCCGGAGGGTCTAGGCAGTTGTGCCTGGCGCAGGCTACCGATGCCTCCGAAGACCGAGCGCTGGCGACAAAGCCTGCTGGCTGATGTTGCTTGGTGTGGCTTGATCGTAGACTGATGATCGACTGAGGCTGGCGGTTTGCGGCTGCTCCTTTTAGTTAGTTAGTTAGTTACTTAGAGAGGGTGGGTTTCCCCATGCACCACGACCAGTTTGATCTATTGTGCTTCCCTCTATGATATTCTACCAGTCTCTTTACCCTACTGATAAATTGTGCGTACCATGAGTCCCGCTGAGCAAGCGAGTTCGGCCACTTGCTTGGCAGTGTCTATAATGCTTCCCCCATCTATCGGAGGCCTTAGAGGCTATTGTTGGGTGGGAAACGTCCTGGAATTTGGCTCAGTGATCCCCTTTGGGGATATGAGGTTCTTTTACGTGCTGTAAAGTTACGACACGGGACACACAGCTTGAAGTCCCTCCCGGAGGACTTGTTCCCTGAATTTTTCTGCCCTTAAAAATTCGACGACCTCCGCCGGGTATTTGAACCTGCGTACCACGAGTCATGAGGTGGGAACGTTACCTCTAGACTACGGAGGCCGCTTGGCTACTCATTTTTATACACTGCTCGGTGGGCGGAGCGAAACTTGAAATTGAGGAGGAAGAATTTGCAGGGCGCTGATTGGCTAGTGTGCATGATGATGTAGATGCGGGGCTAGCAGCGAGCGCAGTATAAATGCGAACGTTTGGAGCAATTTGATTGGTTAGCACGCGTGATGGTGAAAAGTGATGTGAAGAGTGTGCGTTGCAGAAAATGCGTGATAATGTGGGATGTTCCCACACATATATTGGAGTTGTTCAGTCAGAGTCTAAGGCAGAACACTGACTCAGCTATCCTGGCTAAGGCAAATACTGGGATGGTAACATGGTTAGGCCATGACCACTTCCTTCTGAGTCCCTTCCAGTTCATTATTTGTCTGTCTTGCTACCATTCACTGTCATGTTGTCCAGCTGCTGACATCATCATAAAATTAGCAGTAATGAAATATACTATTATCAGGAGAACCAAGAGTAAAATCTAAGAATCTAAGAAGGCTGATTACAACACACATTAATTTTGAACTTCTAATTTCTTTATTTTGCACAATTTACTTCAATGAAATGTTCCTGAGTTCTAAATGAATATTTTGTAACATTTTCAAAAATATTAAAGCAGTTTCTCTGCATGTTTACATCTAATGATTAAATAATTATGGGTATTATTGGCTCAAGTTTTAAATGATTGAGTTTTGAACAATGAATCAGAAAAGTTAAGTCACACTTGTGAGTTTGAAGTTTTTATTTAAGTTGGCAGGCATATATGCTGATAATTGAACTTATTATTGTACCATTGAAGGGTCATTTATCCTCATGGCATAAATGCCTTAACATTAATTCTTTCATTGGAGTTGCATGAACTTGGGACTCGGTGCCTCATACATAAAGATCTTTCAATCATGCCAAGCTAGTCGCTGTAAAATTATGCATTAAAGTTTCATAATTTATTTTACTGTAATATTTTTCCTCTTTTATTCATGTGCACAGTTTGCAAACTCAGGGTTTGTTGTGAGTATAGCCCAGAGAAGCAAGATCCTCGTTTTTGAGCCAACATTCAACAGCTACCACAATACGCTGTTGAACATGTACAACATGATGATTGCAGCTGTGAGGAACCTACCCTGCCTTGAAACCAAACTCTATCTGGATTGGGGAGGACCACAGATGGTTCTTAAGGTTTGTTTTGTGTGTCTATTATGGTTGCAGCCTCTATGATTTATCTGTAACAATTGTAATACCGGTGTGTAGTAACTGTAACAAATACAACACTAAGGTAACAGGTGATTAGAACATGTTTCTTTCCTGTGTAGCCCATCATTCCAGATGACATTGTAGAACATGACAAAGAGAGGGTCAGCAACACTCTTGAAGATCAGAGAATTGGGCCAGAGTTGAGAGTTCAAGATTTTGATGATTATATGAACCTTATTAATGATGAGGTGAGTTCATGTGATGTAGGAAAACTGGAGAGAATTGTTAGCACTCTTATGTTTTACATATGCTGGTACCATGGAAGTTACCTGGATTCTTTTCCAGGAGGGGGACGACAGATTTGCTTACAAACTTACTTTTAAGTCTGCTTTTACTGTTCTCACGGTCTTGTCGCTTACAGATTTCTTATACTTTTTCTTCTACCCTGAAGATGGAGGCGATATGTTCCTCCGAAACGTCGGTTAACACCACATATACACGGTGCCAAATCCCAGAAGACTGCTTTCTTCTTACTTTTAAGTCACCCTACTATATTCGGAATATAATAATAACCTTGAAATAATGTTATATTTTAGCATCCTGTTGCACTGACTCGTGTCCATGATTTATGCTGTCTTACTGTAAGACGGTTAGCATAAATCATGAACCTTGAAATATTTAAAATTGTTATTATTAATATTTCTCATATTTTCTTCTTTTCTTCAATTTTAATTTTTTCCAAAGATTAAGAGGGCAGATGGCCAGTTTCCCCCAACCTCCTTGCTGGTACCCATGGTAATTCAAGTGCCCAAAATCATAGGATAGGAGTATGTAAATTTATTGTAATAGGTGTCACTGTCCCTTGACGGCTTGACACTGCGAGGGGGTACCCAAAAGAGACCGAACTTATTTTTTTTTTAACTTATTTATTCAAATTTTAAGCACAAACGTCCCCTTCAAA